ACCGTCGTCGATTCCTTTCATTATGTTTTTTATCTTGCCTGTCTCATCCAGAGGCGGGTTGACGAGCTGAAAGAGGAAGAGCACATCTTCGATGTAGCTCGCGAAAGTCTCATCTGTTCTCTGTACTCTGCCACGCAAGCATTGTTCAGCACGAAGGCGGCGGACAGCAGGACGTCCAAAGACTTCCGAGAGGGTTTTTGCCGATTCCGACGAGGTACTGAAATCACTTTGATGATTCCTGTACCATAGTTTCGACACGTCGGTCAGGTAAAAATTCACATTTGTGAGCTTATCGGCTGCGTTCCACTTATTGTACGCGCTCACCAGTTCATACTCGGCAATCCAGTTGTCCACATCTTAGTCCCCTGTGCCACCAAATATGGGGGGGGGGGGTCGCGCTGCTGGAGAGCGCCAGCGCAGAAGACAGGTATGGGTGCGAGACCTGGAGTGGTGGCCTGAGACGGTCCCGGATCAGTCATTGCAGAAGGTGGTTGGAGTGTGCGGCAACGAAGTTCCAGGGTGAGCACAAGATGTACCCAGCACCTCCACCACTTGAAACGGTGTGTTGAACCAGCAGGAGTTGACTCGGCGAACGAAAGCTTTATTGAGCGCAAGGGCTAACTGAACACAAGCCTGCGATCACAGCAAGTCTTCTTCCTTTTTTATATTCGAGCTCCATGCCCACTGCCTTTGTTACAGTTTGTTTACGCTTGCCCAATCATACCGTCGCGCGTTAGATCTTCTTGTGTGTAGTTGCTCATATTTAATCACATTATTTAGCTTCATGGTTTTTTTTGTAATAATTTCGGTACTCCGGCCGTTTCACTAGGAAACCAAGTTGAGGTTAATTGCATAAAATGCTACTAATTTCAGGTAGTGTCTACGTGCAACATCCTTGCAACTGTGTTGTGACGATTTTAAGTACCAATTGAGATAGCTACCTGATGACTAATTTTTTCCTGCGGCTGATTGCTCACAACTGCTCTCAGTACCGGCGAGTCCGCGGCGGCCTTGGCTGCGGGCGCGGCAACGACAAGAAACAGCAAAAATTATAACTGAACGCGGAAATGACAATAGTTCTAGCGCGAGAACAAAACGACGACACAGAGACAAGAAGGACACGTGTCCTTCTATCGTCATACCTTACCAAATACCTCAAGCAACGCCTTCTAGATTTCCTGTGCCTGCCGGATGAGCGCGAAACGCCAGTCATCTATGACAGCGTTGCCTACGTAGAGGTAAGGGTCTTTGTACTTGGCCTTTAAGATTGGCAATTTTGGCGTTTGCTACTAATTTCAGAGGATGCCTTGTAAAAAAATATTTGCTTGTTGAATGACGGCGTCACTTACGTAGGGTTAAGTATAATTACGTTTACGCCATTTTAAAACCTTTGAAGTTATTTTTGTTGCATATAAGCTTCAAAAAAGTAAAAAACCTAGTTGAAGGACGCACCTACTTGAGAGGCGCCACCCCCGTTGTTCCGATGACCACCGCTTCCCAAGCGACCACCGATAATCCGGCACGCACGGGAAATCTAGGAGGCTTTGGCCCAAGCCAAGGAGGTTATACTAAACTTTCTGGAGTGGCGGAGGGGCTCCGCGGCTGACGCCACGCGCCGCCATATTGCTCAGGGCAGAAAGCGGTCGAACGCATTGTAACGCGTGCATGTGCGTGCGGCCTCTCCGTTGTTTTTCTTGAGTGCGGTGCCTCTAATCGAATGAGGCCGCTGTGGCAGACGACTGTGACCTCTTCTGAAGACGATGGTGGGCTCTTGCGCAGCATTTGGCTGCGCAAATCGCGTGAAGCAACCACCGGGGATAACTTTTCACGTGTAAGTAGCGTGCTTTGCTCGCTCGCTTTCCCTCGCATATTTTTGCGATTACGAATGCATTCGCGCGTACAAGCATTTCCCATTTACGTCCGGGTGCCATGGAGACACTGTGAAACATTTTTGTGCTTTGCAGGTTTCCCAAAGACTGCGAATTGCGCAGTGCATGGGAGCGCGCTGAGAGGCGAGAAGGTTGGACTCCGAAGAAGAATGACGTCTTGTGTTCAACGCACTTTGAAGCAGACTGCTTCGATAGAACAGGGCAAACAACGAGACTACGAGCTGGTAGCATCCCTACCAAGTTTGCAGCGTTTCCAGCGCACCTACAAAAGCCAGTGAGTACGCTTCGTGAGCTCTTCGTTTACCAAATGTAGTTATTGTAGCGTTAGCTCCGCATCTCTGGGATTTTCAGTTTCTAATATTTAGTTGCGCATTCGCTCTAAATGCCTAAATTTCTGACGCTGTCGCGTTATTCCTCTTTTTGCGTAGGAGAAGAGAAAACGAGCTCCTCCAAAAAGTCGGGAGATGCCCTCGCCTCAGGAGCCTGTTTTGGATGAAGCTGCCGAAGCCTCCCCCCTGCAAACTCCCCCCCCCCCCCCCGAAGGAGTGGTACAAGCAGAAAGTGCATGAATCGGCGAAAGAGGTACAGCAGCTGAAAAACAAGGTCAAGACGTTGCACCAGAAGAAACGGAGACTTTCAAAACGCATTGATGCTTCTCAGGATTTGATTGAGCAGCTAAAGGAGCAGAACCTTTTGTCGGAAAAAGGGTTGGAGGTTTTCCAAGCGTCATTTTCCTCCGGATATCCAGCAGCTTCTCAAGAGAACTCATGAAAAGACCCCCCAGAATTAAGAGCATTTGCACTGACGCTTCACTATTATTCGCCAAGGGCTTATGATTATGTGCGAGCTAAGTTTAACAATGCTTTGCCAAACCAGCGAACTCTTCGCGAATGGTACAAGGCAGTGAATGGTGATCCTGGCTTCACCTCAGAATCATTCGAGTTTATCAAGAACATAGTGCAAGGAAGAGATGAGCCACTGGTCGCTGCCATAATGGTTGACGACATGTCTATTAAAAAACATGTCCAACTTGTGGGCAACAAAGTTTTCGGATATGTCGACTTGGGCATGGAAATGCCAGATGACAGCCTCCCAGAAGCAACGAATGCCTGTGTTTTCATGCTGGTGGCACTCAATATGAGGCTGAAGGTGCCCCTTGGGTATTTTTTTCATTGATTCTCTCTCTGGTTCTGAAAGAGCGCAGCTAACGAAAGAGTGTATCTCGCGCGTGACTTCAGCAGGTGTCATAGCAGCATCACTGACTTTTGATGGAGCGGCCTCGAACTTTTCAATGGCCAGTTTTCTTGGTGCTGATCTCCGCTGTCGTTCTCCGGGATTTAACACCTCATTCCAGTGCTTAGAAGATTGCCCAAGCAAAGTATTTGTGATTCTAGATGCCTGCCACATGATCAAGCTTGTGCGTAACTGCTTGGGATCAGTAAACCACCTCACTGATATTCAAGGGCGCAAAGTGAAGTGGTCATACATTGAAGCTCTTGAGGCCTTGCAACAAAAAGAGGGCTTGCACCTTGGAAACAAGCTGACGAAAGTTCATCTGGAGTGGGCAAAGCAAAAAATGAAGGTTCGACTGGCTGTGCAGACCCTTAGCTCATCTGTTGCTGATGCACTGGACTTCTGCGAGTATAAACTGAAGCTTCCCCAGTTTCAAGGTGCCCACGCAACAGCGGAGTTCATTCGAATCTTTGATCGCCTCTTCGATATTCTGAACTCGAGGAACCCTCTGGCGCGATCATTCAAAGCCCCACTGCGGCAGCAGAATGCAGCTTCTTAGAAATCGTTCTTCCACGAAGCCGAGGAGTATATTAGGGGGCTGAAGGATGCAAGTGGGCGACCAGTGATAGATGGACTGAAAAAAACTGGGTTTGTTGGCCTCATCATTTGCATTCGAAGTGTCACTGCCCTTTTCGATGCCCTTGTGGCCACGAAAATTTTGAAGTATCTGTTGACGCACAAGATGTCGCAAGACCATTTGGAAACGTTTTTTGGTTGTGTGAGGGGAAAGGGGGGATACAACAACAACCCCACAGCCTGCCAGTTCAGAGCCGCCTATAAGCGCCTCCCCTTCCACACAGAGGTAACATCGTCTGACGCTGGGAACTGCTGCCGAGATGTGGTGTCTATCCTGAACATGTCCAGTGCTGTCAGTCTTGCCGAGTCACCAACAGCAGTTACGTCACACAGGAGGTCGTCGCTTCTGGAGCCTGTGGATGATGAACATGACTACACTCATCGTGTGGATCTCCCCCAGAGCCTTTCAGCGGTGACGAGTGCTGTTGTGCCGTATATAGCGGGATTTGTGGCTCGCAAGGTGCGGTCTGTCACGAATTGTGAGGAGTGCTGTGCTGCGCTGGAATCAAGCGAAGAACCAGACCTTGTCAGAGCAAAAAACAGAGGTGGACTTGTCGCACCATCCAAGGACGTCTTAGAGATCTGCAGTATTGCAGAAAAGGGACTGCGAGTACTACAGCATGAATGCAAGAATTTGAAATCCCTTAATACTAGCTCAGATAGCCTTTTGGTACATGTGATGACTGCAGTGTTTGAAAAAGCATTGTTCGCGCAGCTGGAGCCTCACCTGCTGGACTGTGACCCCCTTGATAACCATATATATAGCTTATCGAAGAAAATTGCCAGCGTGTACATCAGAACAAGACTTCATCACATTTCTAGGAGAATGAACCAGGAGAACTGTAACAAAAACGTGCGCACACTGCTAACAAGAGAGATTATTTTCAAAAATCTCTAAGTGCGAGAACTTGATTGATGTGTTTTTCTATTTAATTTAGCTCACTGTTAGTGTTTGATGCATTTGTTCTTTTAGTCAGAATTTTAATTTTTTGCTGGAAGATTTAACGTTTGGTTTAGTCAAATGCATCTGGTGCTGAATGTGACTAACTGTAGGGTTTAACGGGCCGACGCATTGCAAGCAATGAGCCTTGCCGTAGTGGAGGGCTCCGGATTAATTTTCACCATCTGGGGATCATTAACCTGCGCCGAAATCTCGTTTTCGCTTTTTGCCTCCATTAGAAAAGTGGCCGCCGCGGCCGGTAACCGTGGTGCTGAATGTGGACAAGTGAATAAATATGGTTGTACCGTGAACCTTCAGTTTCCTTTATTGCGTTATTGGTTTCATATTTTTGTTTTCGTCTCCAGCTAGCATTCTACAACTTCTCCCGCTCTTAAATTTTATTTTCGTTGCATCTTCTCGAGCGGTACTTCTGCCGTGAGACAACAGTGTAAACATATAATACAAACTGATATCCTATCGCATCATCTTTAACTCTCAGTGTAAGTGTCAAGAAAAAAATAAATAGGATGTATATTAGTCATTTCAAAGTTCCCTCGCGTCCTAAGAAAAATAAAGCGGCCCTTTCATTGCTATTACAGAAGGCACGGCTGCAAGCGTACGGGGCACAACGGCGGCACAAGGCAGTCGCCGCCTCCTTCTGCCCTGAGCAATATGGCCGCCGACGGGTTTCCGCGGCTTCACTCCGATACATGGGCGGGTATGCGGGACCGCCACTCCAGAAGTTCTAGTATAACCTCCTTGGCCCAAACTGCCACACTTCTAAGCGGAAATGACGTTTATGGTAGCCGCTGCCAATTAGCGCTGTAGCAGACGACATGGGCGTCTCCCTTGCGCGCGTACTCCAGCATACGGTTGTCAAACACGCGACCCGAAACGTGTTTTTTTTCCGACTTTAGTATGTTCCACGGAGGAAGGAATCTTGACATTCAAGGCTTTTTCAGACACTTCATGCCACTTCTTCAGCCATGATCCCAGTTTTTTTCACCACGCGCCGGCTTGTCTCGACGGTGTTCCCCGTCTCAACTCGAAGCCACGACCTTCTATATAAACTTATAGTTTATACAGAAGGTCGTGCTCTAAACGAACAGCGAATGAAAAAAGAGCGCCGCGACAGTCGTGACTTTTTGGTGACGTCAGCAAAATGGTCACGTGGGCGAAACAGTCCAAGGTTCGACCTGCAAAAAAAAAAAAAAAACGTCACCATCGAAACAGTTCATTTCGACTTTCTGGCGTTTGTTTTAATTGCGAACGATTGCTATCAGCAGTGCTCCTACGTGAAGTGACGTGGTGGTACATTTAGTCAACTGTTCGTGTAAATTAGTGTATGCGGCTACGTAATCCTGCATGACGACTGATGAGAAGAAATCTGTACATGAGATCAGGGTTCCGGAAACCATTCTGTGGTTTGCAGCGTTACTTTTTTTCTCACTACAATAAGTGATCGTGTATGAAAGACAGATCCATCTAAAGTCTCCTGCCTCCAAAGGCGGATTTCTGTCTAATGAGCTACGTTATTTGCAGAGGCAGACATAACTTGCAGGTTAACTCGCAATGCTGCGAGTATACTGAGAACGTCCTAATTTCATTTGTAATACTTCAACACAAATGTTTATTCGCGTAGTATATGCCAAGTTGTGATGAATTCAGACTCATTTAAAATAGCGGGAATATTTTTTAGCGTTGATTTCTTCGAGTACGTGCATGGTGAAAACAATTGCTCATGTTTCACTGTCCTGCACTTTCATTTTGAAAGTGAATCTATACTTTCTGCAGACTATTTAACCCTAAACAACAATAAATGCCTTTACTTTGTAGCTTTAGTGATTTACAACTCGAAATTTAGAAGAATTAAATGACCACCGTATCGCTGAAGAGCGGGTACACGGTGAGCTTGGAAAAAAGCGACCATCAGCATGCAACTTTTAAGCAGGACATTGCCAAGAAAAGCATCTATGATAAAACTCGGGGTAGTTCTACTGTTTGAGGCCAGGACTGGAGTATTGCGAACCAAGACTTATCGGGCCAAATACGAATGGGTAGACACGGTATGCAGTGCGTGTAAAGAGCATGAGTAAACTGCCGAAGACCTGATAATGTTCTGTAAAGGGCTTTGATGGCGCAGTTTTTCGAAGCACTGGGCTTTAGGGACAGTGAGGGCAAAATAGACTTTAAGAGGGTAGAAATAACTGAAAGGAGGTGATCTGATTGGTGGCTAAAATCAAGGTACGAGTGAAGATAAATTCTTCATTGCAATGTAACAGTCCTCAACTTCCCTATTTAAAGAAAAAAAAGATAAACCTAGATGTTGGTTCACTAAGTATTATGGCTAGGCGGCGTTAGCCGTCACTCAATCTAAAAGTTAAAACCATATCAATCTATCTATCTCTCTAAAGTGGTAGGTGTTTTGTGGTCAAGGAGGTTCTGTAGAACCTCCGGAGTGGCAGTCCTGGCCACCGCCAACAGTAGCAAGTGAAACCGCGGCGGCCATATTGCTAGAAGAAAAACAGGGCGGAACCGCCATAGACCGCAATGGAATACGCGCGTCGGTTTGCAATTCTACGATAAAAAAATGAGATGGAAACCACTTTTGGGTTACACCGACGAATAAATGCCTTTTATTGTTTATGAAACAAATTATTTCATGCACCCATTGTCAGCTGCACGCTTTCAGATCAATCTGTTGTCGAGGGATATGCTTCGCATATCGAGCCCGCTGGCGCACTTTTGCGGTACAAATGGGTTGTAGTATATATTGGGTCTTTTAAGAAATGTGCCTGCAGATACTCAATATCAAAGGGAACGCGACATTTGCTCGTCTCTTTCACATATGTGCTTGTGTGTGTGTCGGCAGAGAACCAGAGAAAATATATAAGAAGGTTTATATAATTAAAGCTAAAGTTAAAAAAGAGAGGTAATTAAACAAACTGGGAGTCAGCAGTAATTCTTCTACAGTTATCGAATTCTAACCAATTTAAAGGCGGAACCAAAACCGAAGCACCGATGTCACGTACAACCGACAAACTCTAGAAAACTTGCCCCAAATGAACCGTTTATAAGAACGATTGCAGTTGCGTTAGTTACGCATAACCTTTATCAACTTCCGTAGGCGATGTGTGTTTTCATGGCAAGCACAGTCTTCAGAGCCTAAAAACGAGGTAGCTTGAAGTTTCATATAAAGCCACTCACTCATTTTGACAACTTCGTCTATTGGCGTTTTGGTTTCGTCGGCAAGATAGAACGGATTTCAAATGTGTCTCATCTTGTTTTAGACGAAATTGCTCATTTTTGAGACTACATCATATTGAAGCTACGTCAAGGAGGCAGAAACTAACAGGTTTTTGCAGATGCGCTCGGAAAGCAGTAAAATCGAAGGTGCATTGCCAGGCCGCAGTCTGGTTGCATGCCCCGTTCTGTCGAAGCAGCATTCTTCAAAGTGAATAGAATAGAGGTGGTCAACGTCCGTAGCCCTCCAACTATTTCTTCGAACAACACGTTCCCAGGCAGAGCACAGCGCACTGCCTTTCGGGAACCTGTAACACGGATAACCACGGCATGGAATTGTTCTCTACATGGAATTCCTCGATAAACATGAGCTGAAATCGATATTCGCTCGCCAAAAAAAAAAAAAAAATATGCATGCACGCTGTGAGTGGTGCCTTGTAAGACAACACCAGAAAACTTGGAATTCCAAGGGCATTCAGACGTCCTAGTTGCTCCAATGTTTGATACGTGCAGCCACGGACCGCAAGTCCTTCGTCCATAAACTTAAAACTCAGAGACAACGTCGTGTCAGCGAGCATTTAAAGCCTCAAGTTACCTTCTATACAGCTGTACGCATGCATTACACGCATGTGCACCTTTGATATTGTTTCTAATTTAACAAAATACGCGAAAAAAAGGCGATCGTCAGAGAACGAAGCCAGAATACTTACACGTGAAAAGTGATCCCGGGCGTCTTTTTTATCTGATTTGTGCAGCCATAAGCGACGCTAGAAGTAATCATGGCCTTGTAAATTCTTTAACTGCTTTGCAAAAGCATGTCACAGTCTCCAAAGGCCACTGCGAGCGCGAAGTGGCTTTGAAAAAAGGAAAAGGAAGAAAAAAGCACTGAACTACGAAGTGCACTTTGTCGTCTGCTTCTGAGTCTTTCTTTTTCCAATATGGCGGCAACTGGCGTCACTTATCGGGGTGCACCTCCACTACAGAAGACAATATACAACCTCCTTGTTTGTGGTACAGCCTAAATATAGTGTACTAGAATATTCGGAGGAAGGAATGATTGGGGAGGGCATGCCCCACCTACCTCCGTGGCATGCTCAGCCGGCGCGCTACGTGAAAAATGTGGAGGAAATGACATCATGGCGGCCATATACACTGGCAACGCCTCCTAGATTTCCCGTGGGCAGTGATGCCAACCCTAGGGATTTATCCTTAGATCTAGAGGTTTTTTTGTCTCTTTTAAAGATTTGGCGTCTTTTTTGTGAAATCTAGGGATTTTTTAGAGTGTTGAAATGAAACGCTATGCAGCTTAATGACTGGTGTTGCTGAGTAACCACGCGTTTTTAATAATAAGTAACTGCAAAGAATGTAATTTTTTGCTAATTTCTATTTTTCATTTCTAACTTTCCTTCGCTATTTCTATTTTTTTTCGTTTAAAAGAGCATTGGTGTTGTGCAAGCCGAGAGAGGGCGACTTTGGTTCTGTAACGCGAGCATTGAGAAAGTAATTTCTTTTTCTATGACGCGAGGTTCTCCCAGTAACAACCTCTGATGTGTGCTGTCGAAGGAACTTGTCCGAACTTGTCGTCGCGAGTGACAACTTTTCTTCGCAAGTGAAGTGCAACTGTGGAAACTCTGAGGTGTGCTGTACACTCGAAGGAACTTTTCCGAACTTGTCTTCACGAGTGACTACTTGGCTTCGCGAGTGAAAGTGCAATTTTGACTTACAGTGCACGGAAAAACGCGCGAAATTCACCTCCGCCGCGCACCTTCACTGTGCAAAGTGAAGGCGCGCTCCATGTGAAATGGCAACTTCTGGACGAAGAGACTTTGAGCAAGGTGAGCCGAGTAGAAAGAAAGCGAAAGCATACGATCAAAAATATTTGACGAGATGGGAAGCTGAACCAAAGTACAAGGGATGGCTAGCAGCGAGTAAAAAAGGGCCCCTGTACTTCTACTGCAAGTCATGCAACGCTGATTGCAAAGGTGGAAAATCGGAAATCGACCGCCACCTCGCAAGCTCCAAGCACAGGAACAGTGCTGCAAGCTTGCAATCGACCCGCACGCTGACATCTATGCCTGCAGCAAGTGGGCAAACTCAGCGAGACAAATCTGTTAAAGAGGCGGAAATAAGGCTTGCAGCGTTCATCACAGAGCATAACTTGCCATTTAATGTCATGGGGCATTTAGTTGACGTTGTCAAAGCAGCATGCGATGATTCCCAAATTTCAAAGAATGTGAGCTGTGGCCGGACGAAGTGCACTGCCATCGTAAAAAATGTTCTTGGAGAGCAGAGTCGCCAAGACATCTGTGAACTCTTGCGCAGACAGAAGTTCTCTCTGCTTGTCGACGAATCTACTGACAAGGGAACAGTGAAGCATCTGTCCCTTGTCGCCCGAGTGATGAATGCCAATGGCGACGTAGTGGATGCGTTTCTTGACTTGGTACCAGTCAGCGACGGAACCGCCCAGTCTCTCTTCAGCAGTCTGAAGGCAGTCTTTACTAGCACAGAAATTCCATACGAAAGAAACTTTATCGGTTTCGCGGCGGACGGAGCAAACGTGATGATGGGTGCTCATCATTCCGTGGCATCGATGCTGCAAGCACAAATTCCAGGAATTTTCATTCTGAAATGCGTTTGCCATTACTTCCATCTCTGTGCCTCCTACGCGTGCAAAACACTACCAAGAGGAGTAGAGGATCTGGCCCGCGATGTGTACAACTACTTTTTGTCTCCCAAGCAGACCTCTGCATACCAGGAGGTCCAAAGGCTCGCAGAGGTGAAGCCACATAAGCTACTGCACCCGAGCCAAACCAGGTGGCAGTCCCTCCAAGTTGTTGTTACCCGCCTACTTGAGCAGATGCCGGCCTTGATTTCATTTTTCAAAAAAGCAGCCACTGAGGACCGCGTGCTTGCCGCAGAAGCCATTCTCGAGAAGCTTAGCAACCCGTCGACTAAGCTTTACCTCGAGTTTCTTGAGTACGTGCTGCCTTTTTTTTACAAACCTAAACAAAGAAATGCAGTCCGAGGAAACCAGAATCCACTTGCTGCACGAAAAGGTTTCGGGCACGCTAAAATGCATATTCGAATGCTACATAAAGCGGGACTACTTGGAGGCCACGCCGTTGTCCGATGTGCAGTACAAAGACCCCGCCAAGTTCCTGCCACTAGAGGAAATATATCTGGCAGCAAAGCCAACTGCAGCGCTATCCGGTGGCACACACGGCCTAAACGATGACCACATTCACAACTTTAGGCTGCGGTGCTTAGAGTTTTTCATCGAAGCCCCTCGTCAGATATACTTGCGGTTCCCCCTGAAAAGTCACCAGTTGAAGAACCTTCGAGTCCTGGACCCGAAAGTTGTCATGGGAAAGACGATTCCATCAATCGCGCCCCTTGCGGTATCATTTCCCCTGATCGTGAGGGAAAATGAAGTGAATGAACTGGACAGGGAGTGGCGTCTCCTCCGCAACATGGACCTGATTGAGCACGCTGGCTTGACTGCGAGCCAGTTTTGGCGCGCCGTATCCCCGATGCGAAGAGGCGATGGATCACAAGAGTTTCCTCTGTTGTCAGCGTTTATGAAAAACATTTTGTGCCTACCACACTCCAGCGCTGCGGTCGAACGTGTGTTTTCGCAAGTAAATCTGCTGAAAACAAAGCAAAGAAACAGGTTGTCAACAGACGCGTTGTGCGGCTTGCTGCACGCAAAAAGAACCTTGACGGACAGCTCCTGCTACACCTTCCAGATCATTGATTGATTTGTGGGGTTTAACGTCCCAAAACCACTATTTGATTATGAGAGACGCCGTAGTGGAGGGCTCCGGAAATTTTGACCACCTGGGGTTCTTTAACGTGCACCCAAATCTGAGTACACGGGCCTACAACATTTCCGCCTCCATCGGAAATGCAGCCGCCACAGCCGGGATTTGATCCCGCGACCTGCGAGTCAGCAGCCGAGTACCTTAACCACTAGACCACCGTGGCGGGGCACACCTTCCAGATCACTCCATCGCATTTGAAGTGGATGAAGAAAGAAATGTATGGTGATTAGGACTTCAAAGGGTTACGTGTCACGATGTCCAGCATTTTCGTCGTCCTGCAAGCCTCGGCCGGCTGCCTCAGTAATTTGCGCATACAGAGAAGAGACTGTTGCAAGAGCATTTCAAGAGGCGTTGCTGTGAAACCAGAGTCGTCTGCTCGAAGAAGCGAATTCACATCGCTCCACAGAAAATATTGAAAAAAAGAGCTGCAGTTGCTGCTAGTAAGCTATATCTTAACTCTAATGAGATTCAGAGCAAACGAGGCAAAGAGCAAGCTGCGTTTAGACTAATAAAGGTGAATACCAACGTGCGAAAAGAAAAAAAAATGCAATCTGGGGATTTTGTCTGCTATCTAAGGATTTTTGAGGGGTCATTCTAGGGATAAAGCGTTGCCTCAGGTTGGCATCACTGCCCGTGGGAAGTGTTTCGGTTCCCCCGGTGGCACGAACCTTTTCGAGGAAAAAGCGTTCGGTTCACCCAATAGCCGCTTAAAACTGGCTTGACTTGGCTTAAAGTGTAGGAATAGATAGCGCTAGAATCGGTGTGTTGGAACACATTTTTTCAGGCGATTTGGGCGTTCTTTATTCTGTGGTTCAGGTAGAGTTCCTCACTACCTTGTGACACACAGTCTGTGGCGGGTTCATCGTATTCTAGTCGTGATGTTTTTTTCTCCGATGTCGGTGTTAGATTGGACTGTAATCTGTTTGAAATGGCGAGAACCGCCTCTGTCCGTGGGGTCGTGGTCGCTTTCTGTTGTTAGAAAGTGATTCATACGCAAGTCGCTGCCGCTTTTCTTAATTCCTGTGATGTCGCCGTGTTCAGGAGCTTCTTATCCGTGTTTATCGAGTAGTTAACGTCATTCGCCCGAAGCACAGAACACCTACCACCCCGAAGTGTTTGCCACCAAATCTACAAGCAATGATAACGAGCATAAAATAAAGGCCTTTGGAACGCGATTTGTGAATGTTGGTCTCACGCATGTATTACGCGGATGTATGGTAGGTGCATGCGTGTTGCTTGAGGACCGATCATACAGCTGGTGCCACTTGGGAGGAAGTATATAATGCGCCAACGCTTTCGCTGAAGCTTGTTCTTGCGTAAGTGCGTGAGATAGGTACGGAATACACAAGTTGGAATTGGAGAACGTTCTTGTCCGAGTGGCTTTATTAAGCAGTCGCAGATGATGGCAATTTGTTTGCTTAGCAGAGTGTGTTTAGATTGGGGTAACCAACAGTGAAGGTAGTTGTGTGTGGGTGAGGAAATTAGTTTTCTTTGTTGCGGTGCCTTCCAAACAAATCCGTTATTTCTTCTCTTCATTGCGTCGGTCTCTTGATGTGGCACTAAATTTTGCTATGTGCTCTTCGTGACACTTCCTCTCGCTCTAGAATGCTCTAGTAAAAGTTGACGCTAAAGTTCAGCTGAAGTCTTTAAAGTTCTTTGCAGCTAACCACAGCAACATTTCTTTGTCTATGTGCTCAGTTGGACGCACATTATTTGGCATGCCTTTTATAACACAAAACGTTTCTTTTTTTTTCGTTTACTGAACAGTCCGGAAAAAATTGGGGACATCTGTCCCGACTGGGACGGCGCGGGCAAAGTCTTGGACAGTCCAGCAAAATTCGGGACGGCTGGTAACAGTTTAAGCAAGTGTATAAAAATTTAAAAAAATGTAATAAAATAGAAATTTTATTGCTGGGAGCATTGTCGAGCTTCAATTGCTAACCCGTAAAGGTCTTTTTAAAAGTTAACATTGCCGCAATACAGCAGTGTCAAGGGGTGAAGTGCTTGCAGTGTATTGCAGTAAAGCATACATTATGCGCGTGTGTGTGTATGAAATGGAAGCGTAGCACTGCTATTAGTCCTAATGCGATGCGCCGTGTTTTGTCTCATTACTGGTCATGCGACAGACAGCATCCACACCAACTTCAACCTTTGTAAAGAGTCCATATGTTCCCCCCTTAATTATTTTTTTTTATTGTGGCAAGTGATTCACACTGCAGTAAACTTTTAGTATATCGCATGAATAATTTAAAATTGTTGCATGGCCCCCAATAAAGTGAAAAATACCTGTGACATACTCCTTGGTACTCCAGAGTTTGTGCCATCAGATATGTGCTCTAAAATGAAAATGATCATTATTGGTGAAATATATACTCAGGCTAGATATTGGAGACAATTGTGTATGTTTTGCAAATTTCCTTTTAAAAGCTCATGCTTCACTTTATCGGGCTTTCTTTAGTTATTAAGAAAAATAGCTCCCCAAGAATGGTCTAAAATTAAACACACAGTTTGTCATGGGGCAAGTTGAGCTTAGCAAGAAAATGATTTATGAAAACCATTCTGCCGCACAACTAACAGCAAGCTGGTTTCAGGAAACATGTTGACCTGAGGTGATGGCACATGTTCACGCATCTTACAAAGGCTGCTTGTTGTTATAATGTGGCTGTGATTGGACAAATGTCTGTCATCAGGTGTGGAGATACATCGCATCTCTGATGATCAAATTTTTAAAGAATGGGTTTTCAGGGGATGCTAAAACTTTTTTTGAAGGGGTGAGCATTAGAGAGCATTACTTTATTAAAGTCTCCAATTTCATTAGGTTAGCACTGTGGCTTGCAGGTATGTTAAATGAGCATGGTCACTTGAGTAACACTCAGAAGTCAATAATTATAGGGTGAACAGCAAGGTATGTATGAAACAGGATTATGCAAATTGCAGAAATAGACATAATGAAGTTGTCGAGAAGACTTTGTTAACAGTACATTTACAGGCTTCATGCAGAATTTGCTTTCCAGCAGGGTGAATTTACTTTCGCTGATGCTTTCGATGGCATCATTGCAGTTCATAAGCACTGGTTTTACGGACTGCACGTGATGATCTTGTTTTTTCAAGGTTCATGTACTGATTAAAAAGTATAGGATCAAGAAACTTACATGCTGTCTTAAGGCATAACCAGGCTCACCATAGAGGTAATTGGTGACATTTTAGTGAGTTGTATGTGGGAGGTCTGTGTACATAACATCATAGTAATCTTGCAATGCTGTAGCTTTATTTGTGTAACGAGTGAAGCTTCTTTTCCTGTTAAAAATTTCTGCCAAGCAAACAAGTTCCAACAGTAGGATTTGCCCTTGGGTAAAGGAGGTGGTAAGAGTAAGCTTATTCAGAAGCCCTTCAAGAGTACCACTGAAGGAATTAGTACCTATAGGGCAAAAATTCCAGTGCACCAAGAAGGGCAAGGGAGGACGGTGCAGGTTAACATTTCAGGAGGGTGTCTCCTGGACATCATCCTTCTCTAGCCACAAGCTTGTATGGCCAATGTTTAGCAGACTCCTACTAACATAAACTAGGTATAAATGTTGCTTCTCTATTGCATGATGACACTATATACCTTTTGAGAGTCTCCTCACCACAAGCCCTTACATTAGCCTAAAAATATTTTTTTCTACAGTGCCCTTTTTTTGTCCTAAACAGTTGTCTGAAGCAACAATATGCACATTGTGACAGTCTAGCTGGTGACCACAGAGATGGCTCCCGCCATCACGATGTATACTCCACTCAAAATGTAAGACACTGCAAAATCATAGTCCGGTGTGCGTGCATACGACTATGAACATGCAAGCAGTGACCACTTCTCTTGTGTTCTCTGCACTGGCGCATGCTTGTTGCACACCTGTTCAAGATTGTGACAGTGAAATTAGTTCTGGCAATGCTGTCTCAGAGTTAAGACTGTGTACACCCTTAGGAACACCATGGTGGAGCGAGCAGAGGTTCATATCAAATGTAGCAATAAACTGGCAACACCATGGTGATATAACCACACTTGCATTAATTTATTACATTTTTATTGAGGCAGACATCACACAGCTAATCCTAGTTGTGATCTCTTTTCATTATTGTCTACATAGTTTTCCCGTTGGTCACAGCACAGGAAGAAAAATTTCTCTGTGGGAGCACCATATTTTAAGCTTGCATGACTCCAATGAAGCACTGTGCGAACAGATATATTGAAAATGTCAATACTTCGGGTCCTATAAATGGTGAACTGGTTGTCGCACTCAGCCAGTGATCCTGCAGGAGCTTTAGCATATACTCTAAGGTCATTTTGCATCAACAATGCCACATACAATAGTTTAACAATGGTTGTTAATGGGCAAGATGATGCATAGCTTCAGGTAGGTAATTAAGCTAAGGGGGAAAATTATAGATGCCTAAGCACCACTGGAAAAATGAAAAAGCACAGAAAAAGAGCATCGGTCGCAGCTGAACTACAGAAAATATTTACACTGCACCACACATTCGCATCGTCTAGAATTTTCCCTAATAATGTTATGCCAACCTGCCTAGCAACAAGTACTTCTAAGGTAATAAAGTGCAGAATGACACTTGCATAAGACAGGAAACAAAGGACGCGAGTTAACTGCCATCTATCTTTGTTTGTGGCTTTGGTAGAAAATATATAAGGAAACAGGCACATGTGCAGAGTGACAGTGTGCAACGTTTCAGTCATCAAAAACACCACTTAACATTGCCTGCTCGAGAAATTTTCCTGGTTTTCAAAGTTTCAACAAATGTGTCATAATTAAATACACCACTTCTTTTCCAGCTTGAACTGCTTCCAACAGTTCACATCTATCAGGACTGCTGCCTGTAATCTTTGTCTGGTATTTAATCTGAACTGACATGCCCTAATACTTACACACAATCAGCCATATTTGTCTATCTACCCTTAACAGCCTGTAAGTCCACATATAACAACACACGCTCCATCCTTCCAGTGGTCATAGTCCATACGGGTCATTATATCATTCAGTTAGCTGCCTAACTATACTTTCATTTATTCACTTCATATTTCTTGAAAATAGAGATATGTGAACCCTACAACTGCTTTGCAAAAAACAAATGAATTACAAGTATAACACTTGCTATGATGGCGTAATTAAAAAAAATTATTTCACGATGATGGCCCAGAAGCGTTCTCTAGAAAACATGTAAAGCCCATATGGAGAAGTATGTGTCCCAGGGAAATTCTGCAACTGCCAAATTCGAAGGGTGTGCAAAATATTCCACGATTTCACATACCAAGTTGAATACTGTTCTATTTGATTCAGTCGCCATTATTCGTAGAACTAAACATTTTTACTAGTTTAATAAAATTTAAAATGTTAAGTGCACTGAAATAAAGAGAAAATGTGTAAAAGTATCATAAATTTCATCCCTGGCAGGTTATACGCATTAACATGACAGCTTATCTAGTGCAGCTGGCTGCTTCGCTCTAGGAAAGTGATTTTGCTACCTATACAATTGTCACTTACCCTTTCTTAACACTTCTGTAGACTTTAAGGGCTTGTTGTTTTCGCCAGATACTCGATTCCTACTTTTAAAATTTTTAGGAGTCCTTATCATAGCTGCAAAGGGAGATACAGCCAGTATTTGATGTACTTGTTTTTATATTGCAATGGAAATAATACATCAACTGGGAAATAGCGATGAAACATTTTCTGTTAAATTTTATTTCAAATTCGTTTTGCTGCACAACTTGTGTACCAAACAGTGACCGACAACCATTGGGTGTACTTGCACCATGCTCTGCCATGAAGAAGCACATGCATCAAACTTGAGAGACAAAAGCTCATGCATGCAGGTGCAATTATTATGTAGTCGTCCCTTGAAACATCCTTGGTAATTTTAAATACTTGGCTGGGCAGATTTCTGTTAAATTATTCTCGAATGTCCAGGCTGGCTACAAAATGAGCAATGCTAATAATGTTCTTGGCTTGTGCCACAAATTTTTTACCACTCATTCTTTAAAAATATTTCCTAACGCTGTTGTTGTATAACCAAACAAGAATATGTACATGCTCTTTAGCACACTGTTATTCACAAACTAAAAGCCAGTTCATTAAAACTCAAGATAGTTAAACATTCATATTCCATAATTACGATCAAACTGCAGGTGAGTTACCACAACAACCAATCTTGCACTGATGTCATTATGTTTTCATTATGAATTTAGTAATTTGCATGCTTGCTTCTTTTTCACAGAGTATGCATATTATTATACAAGACACCACAACTAACTCATTTATCAACTTCAGTATTTTATCACTTTCGATCAACCATCTTGCAAAGTCTTGAAACAAGTCACTTTTAAGACCCACAAGTTTTCTTGTGCCCTTACAGTGCATCGAAGGCCCTGAAGTGTCAAACAGGCCAAAAGGCATTGGTAAGGCTTGTTCATAGGCATTGGACAAATCTGTTTACAAAATGTGTTAAAGGCACATGCGTGCACATGTTTTGGTTTGATTGTACGTTAACATTAAGAAAAGAAGGAGTGGTGCGACATTTCTGGCACAAGCCAAGCATGTGGTTAGCATAGCTAACTTTCACTTCACTTCACTTTATTATCTTAAAGACCCCGGTGAGGGGGTATTACATAAGGGGTGGGTTAACAAATGGAGGTTACAGAGAGTGATCTTCTGACAAACAATATGTATTTATGTTTTGCGCAAACGTTGATGAAGACATGATGGCTGCAATGTCACGGGGAAGGCCATTCCAGTCCACTGCTGTGTGAAGAAAAAATGAGGCAGCAAAAGTAGTAGTGCGAGCGCATGCGATTGAATAAGGATGGGTTGTGCGGTGAGATATGCGCGTTGGTGGGATAATGTAAGGTGCTTGATTGAGGGAACTGTGAAAGAACTTGTGAAACAAACAGAGGCTGGCGATGCGGTGATGCACAGAAAGATTATCAATATCAATGTCATGTTTTAGGGATGATATGCTTATGTCGTATGAATATGAAGAGTGAATGAACCTAGTGGCACGATTTTGTACAGATTCTATTTCGTTTATTAGATATATCTGGTGCGGGCTCCAGATGGGCGCTGCATATTCTAGTTTAGGTCTGATGAGCTATTTGTAAGCCAGAAGTTTTATGTCTAGTGGTGCATGACGCAAATGACGCTTTAGGAAACCGAGGGGTCTATTCGCGGATGATATGATGTTGTTTATGTGAGTGTTCCAGGAAAGGTCAGATGTTAAGGTGACGCCTAGGTATTTATGACTGAACTTGTTCGATAATGAAATTAGAGATTAGGTATGAGAAGGA